AAAAAAAAAAAAAAAAAGAGAGAGTGGGGGGGGGGTTCTTCTTTGAATGGAGAAAGAGGTATGGTAGCTACAATGGGTTACAGTGTATTGTGCAAATAGTTATAAACAGGTTATAGCTGAACAAACATTTTTTGCACCAACAACTTAGCTAACAGTTAAGCAGAAAGTCGTTAACATAAAAGATACGTTGAGTACATGTGTATAATTTATCATACAGCTTTTTAAAAAGTATAGAGGAATTGAGTAGATATAGTGATAGTTCTGATTCAATTAGCTACCTGTAAATAATGAAAAAGGCAGCAGATTCAGGAACAGAATAAATTTACTAATCATTAATTGTAAAATAAAACAGTGGCCCCCAATCTTTTCAGCACCAGGGACCGGTTCCCTGAAGAGAGGATTTTTTGCAGACTGGCGTGGGCATGGTTACATGCTGCCTGCATCCTGCAGATGGGGCTTTGCTTGGTTGCGTGGCCCAGTTTCTGGTGTGCCTCACACCAGTGCCGGTCCATGGCTGGCCGGGGGTTGTGGTTGGGGGACTCCTGAAATAGAAACTAATACTTCAATCATCTTCAGGCAGGAAGAAAAAAGGGAAAACTGGAAAAATTTATACCAGTCAGATAAGTAACACTTTCTAACAGTAGAAGCAAAATGAAAACATTTGCAAGAATTTTCAATTTACTGAAATATCAAAAAAACGTATTATCAAACATTCTATTTGATTTGTGGACTTGTGCGTTCCTTTAAATAATGGGCCTTTAGTAGCTTAACTAAATAACGGAGGGCACCTGAATTCTACCTCCAATACTTATTTTGTCATCTTGCTTTATTTTTGTACTTTCACTTTTGAAAATTGAGTTTGATCAGCTATCCTGGTATTAAATGTTCTGGGCTTGAGGACATGTTTTCAACCTAGGATCAGTTTTTGTGGGGTCAGGACAATATCAGTGGAATGTGTGTTTAAAAACCCTCTTCAGTGTTCAAGACTCATAATTTTACTTAGGCGCCTTTGTCTCTGTTTTGCCTTAAGCTAAAGTGAGCTACTGTTAACATTCTTATATGTTTTACTTCCAGGTGGGCTCAAAGTTGATTACCTGTCACAAGCTTGTCCTGGCTTGTGTAATACCTTACTTCAGAGCCATGTTTCTTTCGGAAATGGCAGAAGCTAAACAATCATTGATTGAAATCAAAGATTTTGACGGTGATGCCATTGAAGACTTGGTCAAGTTTGTGTATTCCTCCCGGCTAATGCTGACTGTTGACAATGTCCAGCCTCTCTTATATGCTGCCTGCATTCTCCAAGTGGAGATAGTGGCCAAAGCTTGCTGTGAGTACATGAAGCTGCACTTTCACCCTTCCAATTGCCTGGCAGTGAGGGCCTTTGCAGAGAGTCACCACCGCATTGACTTGATGGACATGGCTGACCACTATGCCTGTGAACACTTTGTTGAAGTGGTGGAATGTGAAGACTTTGTGAGTGTATCTCCTCAGCACCTTCATAAACTCTTGTCTTCAAGTGACCTGAGCATTGAGAATGAAAAGCAAGTTTATTGTGCTGCTATTAAATGGCTTTTGGCCAATCCCCAGCACCATGCTTTATGGTTAGATGCAATAGTTGCTCAGGTAAGAACCACATGAGAGAAGGATAAAAGTGCTGTTAATACCTGTAATGTTCCTCTCATTGTATTTTTTAAAAAAATTATGATGGTATGTTCAAGCAGCCATATTTCTTTCTTTATGTAGCTTTAATGGTATATGTATAAACTGAGCACAATTGGTTCTCTTAACTTCAGCCAAATAGGTGTCCTTTGCTTTTGTTAAATTCAACTCCTTCTGTCCATTGAGACTTGGAGACAGTATGGAAATAGATTCCATTCATCTAGCCTTCATATATCCTAGTGTTTTCCCATCCAGTTACTGATTAGCCTAGGTCTCCAGGTTGAAAATTAGCAGCCAGAAGATGGCCACTGTTGTTACAGATTTTGTTGAATATTGACGGTCCTGCACTATATAATTATGTAAATGACAACCTGCAGCATAGAGGCAGGATGACCAAAGAATGCCTTATAGGAGAATTGGAATTAAATTTATTGCTATTTGTCCTCAAGGATATTCCCTCTCCGTATAGTCCTACTAAGGTGAGATAATATCTGTAATTCATTTTGAATAAATGACAGTATCTGGTAGGTTCATTAATGGAGCTGATCTTTACGGCGTGATAATTAAAATGGCTAACTTTCTATTTGCATGCTTTTGACTATTGAGCTCAAAAGATATTCTTTCAGGACTTCTTCAATAAGTAAGCCATTAGGAAGCAGTTTGGTAGCATCTCTAGTGGTTCAAAGTGCTTCGTTCCAGTCTGAGCTTGCATTGCAGTGTTATCCTAATGAAATATGCATATTACACCCTTGCACTGGTTAAATAAAATTAAAACTAGTTTAACCAACCAGACTTGTTGATAAATCAAGGTTATTTATTCTTGAAATTCATTGCCATTCATTGAGATTCATGATACCATGCCAGTTATCTGGTCAGAGTAGGCAAAATCCCCATATCCTTGGATAATGCAGCAGTAAGAATGAAAGTGCTCTGTAACCTGGCATCCTCTTGTTGGTCCAAATGAAATGGGAAGATGTTCCTTTCGATCTTGATGCTGTTCAATTCATCATTTTTGTTTGTTCCCTTAGGTACGCCTGCCCCTGTTACCTGTTTGTTTCCTCATGGGAGTTGTTGCAAAAGAACAAATAGTCAAGCAGAACTTAAAATGCCGAGATTTGTTAGATGAAGCAAGAAACTACCATCTTCATTTAAGCAGTCATACAGTACCAGATTTTGAATATTCTGTTCGGACAACCCCAAGGAAACACACAGCAGGTATCTATTTTTTCCTAATACGCCGCTGGTATAGGTGTGAAAATTTCTTGTTCTGTTAATGAGTTCACAGAGTGCTTTATTTATTTGATACCCGCTGAATTTTATTAATTAATTTAAATCTTATCAAAGAAGCTCCTCTCCATTTTGTTATTTTTCCTGTTAGGTGTCCTTTTCTGTGTTGGAGGACGTGGCGGATCGGGAGACCCATTTCGCAGTATTGAATGCTACTCGATAAATAAAAATAGCTGGTTTTTTGGCCCTGAAATGAACAGTAGAAGGAGGCATGTAGGAGTAATCTCTGTAGGAGGTTTGTAAGAAGAAAATTCTATTTTCAAATAATTCTGTATTCTATTGTAGCTTATGATTCAGCCATTCTCTCTACCCTATAATCACTGTATTTCCCGAGGAGGAGGAAAGTTCTGAATTTAAGATGATTACCACAAAAGCAAAGCAAAAAAGATAGTTGGGAAGGAAAATAGGACTAATGTCCCATGTAGTGCACAGTGTCCTCATTTTTTCAACCTAGGAAATCCCCCCTAATAAATTTCTTAAGAGACATGGATATTGGTTTGTGCATCACAGTTATGTCTGTGTACACTTGCCATAAACCACATTCAAAAAATAGCACCAGAGCAAAAACGAATTACTAATATCTATAATTCTTCATTTATAACATTTACCTCATCTATATATACCAAGCTCTCTCTGTCAAACACAAAATTGTATTATATTTCTGTTTTTCATGCATGTATGCACATAGTGAGAGTAGCGCATTGGCCTAGAGGTGGAGTTCTTGCCTCACGATCGGGAGGCTGTGAGTTCGATCCTAGGCAGAGGCAGATATTTCTCTCTCTGAGCACAATGAGAGATATCTGCTGAACAAAACTCTGCATTGCCGACAGGAAGGGCATCTGGCCATTAAAACACTCCGCTAGCTCCATTCAGTTGCCCAGACCCCGGAGTGGGGGGGAGAACCTTTCAGTTAATTTTGCAAAACATTTATTAATTACAATTGGCTATGTCTGAGCAGATTGTAATATTAGTGATAAATAGCAATAAAATAAGACGATGGGCTACTCTTACTTTACTTCCTAAGAAATATATTGCCTGACTGTTTCAGGTAAAGTTTATGCTGTGGGTGGGCACGATGGAAATGAGCACCTAGGCAGCATGGAAGTTTTTGATCCGCTCACAAATAAATGGATGATGAAAGCATCAATGAATACCAAAAGGTAGGTAAATTTGGAGGAATGGATAGATTCATATGAGACATTGTTTATTACATAATTGACATGGACCAAGTAAATAAACACATCCAGTCCCCCCATAATCATCATTTTTTTATTATATTTATTATTTACATTTGTACACCCCACCAAAAGCAATTCTGGGCAGCTTACTGCAAGTGGATAAAACAACAAATATAAAAACAGCAAATCTTAAAGCTACATAACGTCATCATCCAAAATAAATTTGCAATATGGGGAAAGAATGATGGGACTATGAAAGATAGATGAGGCTTTAAGATTAAAAGAACAAAAATCAGTGCAAAGCAATCATAAAGTTCTTTTAAATATCTCATTTGTAGCTAAAGTGGATTAGGAAAATATTTCAGACAATATAAGTTGTAAAACAAATTAGCTTCTCAAAGTTGGCAGCTGATTGATTGTGATAAAGGAAACTAGGGGCAGACTGGATATTGAAATAAAAACATTTACTGAAAATAGATAATTTATCATGTACAGAGTTGTGCAAATCCAGTAGGTTTTTTGTTTATTACTATGGCGATACTTTCAAACTTCTGTTTGCCAGAGTAAGTGGAAGCAGAGAGACTTTTGCTGAGCCAAGGCTTACACACCAGTTACAACTTTACCTGGACTGGAAAGTCTTGGCAGTAGTAATTCTTAGCCTTATCAGCAGGCATTTTGGCCATTGCATCCCTGCCAGCATAGCACTATCCTTAAAGACAAATCAGAGGATAACATACAGTGTCCAGGATGTTAACGGATGAGAGCTGCCGTGTGAACATAGCATATATGTCCAGGCATTTCATTGGTTGCTGATATCCTTTCAAGTTTAATTGTGGTTTATATGACTTGGCTCTGCGGTGGTACCTAAAGGGCTGTCTCCTCCAGCTAGACTTGGCTTATGTGTACTCACTGAGAGAAATCAAAGGGCTATGGGCTTGTAGTCCTTTGCTTCACAGTATGGAAACGCTTGCCTTGAGACTGGAGGTATACCTAGCATGCTCCCTAATGAGTTTGCATAAAGCAGTTAAGATGGAGCTTTCTGAATGGGTTTTTGGAAGCTCACTGATGGGGAAAGGTGTTGATTGGTTAGTCATCTTCTTGTGCCATTTCTGTCATTGGATGTTGGAGATCATCTTGGCAATCCTATTTTTATCAACAGCCACATGAAAAAGTGCTGTTGAGTTTTGGTCCAAACCAGTCCCTTAGATTTTGAAGCCATGATGTTCTTCTTCTGCCTGGACCTCGTTCGTGAGTGAAGGATGCTTTATTTTTCTGGGTGTCCCATCACAGGTCCAAAATATTCTAACTTTTGCTTTTTTATGGTTTTGATGAATTCCCTTGGTTTTCCCAGGCGGTTTATCCCTTGGTTAGTCTACTGGTTCTTTTTGATGACTTACCGTATTTTTCAGAGTATAAGACCCTCAAAAAAGAGGGTGAAAACCTGGATGCATCTTATACACTGATTACAGCATTTTTGGCCTCCCGAAACCCCTCGCCCTTTGCAAAGATGGCCGTGCATAGCTTTTATGAGGGTTCCAGAGTGCTCCTGGAGGCTGGGGAGGGCACAAATGAGTGGAAAATAGGGCCTTTTTTGCTCCTTTGTGCCCCACCCCCACCCACCAGGAGCACTCTACAAGCTTTGTATGCCCTTTTTTTGATTAAAAAAAAGGGCCCATTTTTGCGAAAAAAATTTTTTGGGAGATCTGCAGAGTGCAAAAGCTTTTTTTTAAATTTGCCTCTTCAAAATCTTGGTGTGTTTTATACTCCAGTGCGGCTTATATTCTGAAAAATACAGTACATATTTTATTTTCCTTTTTGGTAAA